AATTATGTTTACTACCATCCGTCCATACATCGCGAGATGGGTACTTGTAAGGAAAACAAGTTTTTCTTACAAAAACTTTTTCATGTCTGAACTGTTTTTTTAACGTACCATTTTTACACAAAACTAAACCAGTGAAGCTCAAAATCATCTCAGAACCCAATGAAGCTCCATTTGTGATTCAATTTTGTCTAATCAGCAACTAATCACTTGGATTAATCGAGAATTCCATATGTAAAGGGCTTATATCATTAGAAAATAATATAATTGATTATATTGTCTACTACTGAGGAAAAATCCGATAGTCCTATAGCAACTTAGAATTCTTAGCTCAAATTATCCATAAAGAATTAGGTATGAATACAATTTAAATTGAGATCTTCTTTCGAATCAACAACGATTTGGGAAGTCAACGTATCGCATGATAATTCTATATGCCCTTCTGTTATTTATACCTAAACCATTAACATTATATACCGTCTACCACTTCATTCTACCTATGAGCACTATAAAACTAAGGTTGATTTCATACAAGCAGCAGTCAATCTGATAACGAAAGTTGTGAAGACAAGTTGAAAGTAAAATTATTATCATGGACCAAAGTAGTAAATTAAGGCTCAAAGGATTGAAATGTTGTGCGAATATAAATAATCCTAGATGTAACCAAAATAAGTTACGGGCCATATCGTTAACGATGGTAGAAAAAATACATTCTATGGGATATAACCACGAAATTGATGAAACGATGAGCATTTGTGAACCATGCCGTAGCGTGATATCTCATAATAGAAGTCCAGTTATGAAAAAACGCCGATCGGTTGGAAATGAAGTAAATATATAACCGTCAACTAGTGGGCAGCAGCATAGTGTATACATAATGTATGTATTTGTACAACTCATGAAAATGTAAAATTAATGATCAACAGTTTAAGAATTATGTCACAAGATGCAATAATAGAAAAAAATGCTTTGTAATATTTCTACTAGAACACCTGATTGCTTTTTCCGTGCTTGCAAAAAGTGTGCTTCCAATGAACATATTGAAGAGAATCAAATGACAAACAAGATGTTGTGTTTCAACAGTGGCTGAATACTGATCGTTGTAATTTGGAAACGATTATCAAGCCTGTTGATGAATTTGTTCCGTATCTCATTGATAAAATTAACAAACTTATAACTCATGACTTTATTTACAAACAACAGTCATCTTTTCTAAGAAATAAAAAAGAATCATTAAAAGAAGGCAAAATTCTAGCAATTGTGATTTTTCTGAAAATTATTCATTCATCCAAAACGCTGCTCAAGGATATCACCGGAATAATTCTCAAGCAACAATACATCCATTTGAAGTTTATTATAAGAAAGACAATGTTAGCTTCATTATCATATCAGAAGTAATGACTCACGATACAGTTGCAGTTCAGTTGTTCATCTCAAAAATTATAGATTTTATTAAACAATCGATAGATTTTTCTAAAATTACTTTTATGTCATATGGGGCAGCATCACAATACAAAAAAAAAAAACTTTGCTAGTCTGTGTAGATTTCAGTCAAAGCATGGATTAGAAGCAGAATGGCATTTTTTTGCAACGTCTCATGGAAAAGGTCCCTGTGATGCCATTGGTGGCACTCTCAAGCGAATGGCAAAGAGAGCTAGTCTTGCTCGAGATTATGGAAACACCTATAACTGGGCAGTTTAACAAACAGATAAAAATATCACAAAACTACGTTTCGAGTACATATCCACTGAACAGTACATCGTACAACAGTACATTCAGAAGATGAACCAAAAATATTTAACTTGATTGGAAAAAAGGAAAAAAATAGCATGTATGAAAATAGGTTTAAAACATTCAAAATATATAAATAAATGATATATGAAAAATCTTGTCTCTTTTCTCTCACATATTATCAAATTTTGCATCAGTAGTAGACAACAGAATAAGGGAATGATATTTTTTTGACAAGGTCTACATGTCCAAATAGTTTTATTGAACTCTGAGAGGGTGCTGCCAATTCCAAATACGATTTGGCGAGAAATGCATCATGAGCTTTTTTCATATGAAATTCTCGATTAATCAAAGTGAACTTAAGTGCTGATTAGACAAAATTAAATCGCAAATTGAGCTTCATTGGATTCTGAGATGATTATGAGCTTCACTGGTTTAGTTTTGTGTGAAAATGGCAAATCAAAAAAAAAAATCAGTTCAGACATGAAAAAGCTTTTGTAAGAAAAACTTTTTTTCCTTAAAAGTGCCCATCTCGCGATGTATGGACGGTTGGTAGTAAACATAATTACCTATCTTGAGGCAAAGTTTCATCCAAATCAAACATGGCGATTTTGTTTAAATCGACTTTAAATTTTAAAAATAGATTTTTTTTCAGTGTAGGTCTCAAATGAAATTTTTTCCAGTATTTTTTTTTTTTCGATAACTTGGACAATTTTCTAAAAGTTATCCATACACATCATTTTTCCATAATATTTTTTTGAAAAAAATCGGCAGAAAAAGTTTGGCCCTTCTCAAATGTTAGTCTAGATAAATTTTGGAAAAACTGAGTATGCAAAGTGGCATATTTAGTCAAGGTCCACACATCCAAAAAGTTTCATTGAAATCTGAGAGGGTGGCGCGATTTGGCGCGAAATGCGTCTAATGGCATTTCAGAGCTAACGTAATATAAAGTATTGCAAAAAATTCGTGATACTTGAAATGAAATGTTCATAAATTTTCTACTTGCCAAAGAAAGCACCCAGCTAACTAGACAATCAAAAAAGGTTTCGACTTAAAGGGTGTTTTTCGTTTTATAAAGTGAACAGTCCTTATAAACGATTTCGTATAAAAATGATTTTGCTCCATTTAGCCGTATTTTGAAGTAGTTTGTAACAAACTATGCAGTTTTTCTTAAGTCGCAACTTTTGTTGAAATTTTATCACCAGATTCTTCTACAGTGAACACAAACTAACTTCTGAATATTGCATTGCGAAAAAATCTGCATGATCAACTTCACACAGGAATTGAATACTTGCATTTTTACTCTAATTTTAATTCGAAAAAATAAACAAAAGATGCAATTTAAAAGCTAAATTTGCGAGTATATGTTTGAGAGATAGGGGAATTTACGTATTCTCGGCAACCTAAGCAGCGACCTTCTTTCTATAGCCTTTTTCTCTAAGGAACGCACACATATGCAGTATTGGTTTGTTTACAATCTTTTGCTGCCAGCTGCTCTAACAATTTCAGTCGAAAGAATTGTCAAAAACTGTTTTGAAACGCTTTTACAAAGCTCCAATCTTCTGTAGTGAGAGCGAGTATTGTCGGCAACCAGTTTTTCTTCGGCAACCGTTCCATTTGAACTGCATGTAAATCTGCTGTTCTATTATCGGCAACTCGAAATCAGCTACAATTTGTAGTGCGTGTGTTGCATTTCAAGAAAACCTTGCTAGATTGCTTTTTTTCAGTGGTAAAAATATAGTCAAATTGAAGCTGAAAGCATAAAGAATCGTTTGCATGCATTCAGCGAAGTGTTTTCATAAGAAAATCCAGTGAAAATAGTGTTTCAATTCGGGTTGCCGAAAATAGTCTGTCATGCCGAAGCCGTCATTTCCCCTACTTGATTGTGTAGCAAACATATACTTTGAAAAATATTGAGATTTATCGGTAAAAAATGATCAACTTCCCCCCGTTTTACGGTACCCAAAATGACATAGAAAACTCTTCACAATTTTCCAAGACTGCAACAAGCAAAGGTACATGAGTTCACCATTGGACTGGAAACTGTGCACAATATTAGAAATTCAATAAAACAAAAATAATCCTTGATAAAGGATCCACTGTCTCATATTTGAACTGACCAAACTGCGTACATACGTCGTAAGGTATATTCACATCCCACTAAGCTTGATCTCACGTGCTTCAAGGCACACGTCAACAATGAGCCTAATTTATCACAAAACCCAATATGCTGCATATCGGGACAACAAGATCCACGTGGAAATATTCAGCTTGATGCCCTAACACACAATAGCTCATATCCTTTCGAATCGTCCGAACTACGTGAGCAGCAATAATGACGTGGAAACATCAATCCTTTTGTGTTTTACCTTCTGATCTAAATTTTCAATATATCGCATGCTCGACACAGTCAGTGTGACTCTATTGAAACCGTATTTTCTCTAAATTCATTGCTAGCAAACAGTAGTGATTTTCCCTTACCATACCGTGCCGTGCCGTCGAACATGGTTTGCTCGGCTGAGATCGGCTAAACGATAGCTATTCATTATTCATTCTCCAAAGCCAAACAGGGAAATTCCAGCACAGTGCCTTTACAGAATTCAATTTTGTTTAAGGACATATAGCCCAGCAGCACTCCAACAACGGTTTCACTTGGGGTTGATGCACATCCGGATAGTTTAATACGTGCCACAATGTGCTCTCCCAATGGTAAAAAGCTCGCCTTCAATAGCCTTTGGTCAAGTCAACTATGCCCGTCGTTCGTTCGTTGGTTGGCTCACTGGCTACGGCTCGATCTACGTAGTTCCATCAATGACAGCACACATGTGTTTATCCTGTTGTTCCTTGTGAACGCTTCCGAACCTTTTTCATTATCGGTTGTAAAACTATGTCCTCCTGTGTTCTGTAACTATCCTTAGCCCAAACCCTACAGTCAATGATCAGCACACATATCTGCACCACATCGGTACTTTTAATTTTCTATAAAGCATTTCCGAATCGAACCTTAAGCACTGCTTTTCATGTTTTACTCCACATCGCTGCATTGTTGTCAATATGCCATATGTCCGACTACCGGGACCATTTTATCATCATCCTAAAAGAAGCTCAAACTCACAAACACATTATTTCCCATACTCAAAGCATGACAACCCAGAAAACGATGACGGGAAAAACTTGCCAAGCTCATCTAACCTTATCTCTTTTTCTCAATGTCCACCCTGCGTCCCACCACACGTGCACACACCCCCCTCACCAAATCCGTCTCGTTACAGACTTTCTTAGACATGCACCCTGCATGCGACACGTCAAGAAGGACTACGAAGTGTGTGCGGTCAGCTATCAGAGCACAATGGCCAAGATTGGACAGACGGTGGCACATACCACGGTGAGGCCCCCGGTGCAACCGGCGACGCCCAGTGCAACCATGTCTTCCTCGATGAACGACGTGCAACAGCAGCACCAGCACCAACATCATCAGCACCACCAACATCAACATCAGCATAGCAACAGCACCAGAAGTGCTGAGGATGCGGAAGAGGAACGACTCAAAACTGTTTGCTGGTAAGTTCGGTACCCCCCCTTCCGTTTTGGGGTGGTTTGTATGTTTGTTTGGTGTAGCTTTAGAATTGTCGTCCTGCACGGGTTTAGGGCTGGATGGAATGCGAGATTAGATTTTCGGAGAAAGCGGTTACTTGCCAGTCATTGATTGAAGACCTCATTGAAATTTGGCTTCTGAGAATAGTAGCAATGTTGCAACACATTGTAATTTAAGGTACCTCTATCCATCTACCTGGAAGGAAAAGAGACTGTCAATTTCATCGCTTTGTTTACTTATTCGGTAGAATAATCAATCACTTCTTGAAGCTTCCAAACTCCAGACTTACGGTCGACTTAGATGTAACAGAAAAACAAGAAACATATTGTTTTGACCCAATGGAACAGTCAAATTCTCAGTTAAGGAAATCTTAACTATGAGGATGGGTTTGGTGGTAAATTCGATGAACATCATAACCATATTAACTCGTTGTTCTCAAATGCACAAATTCAAAATCATGAACGATAAATCAGCGCATCTTCAGCATATTATCGAAAAACGGGGTAAAGTTTTTTCCCCTCATAGGGTTATTAAATAACAATAGTTCACTAAGTAGCTTTCAATACATGGATGACGTTATGCATAATGTACGATAGTTGAGCTGAGTGACTTGCGATTTTAAAAATCTCTCATACAACTGACTAAAAATTACTCTCTCGCTGAGTTAGTCTCAGCGGCTCGATAGAGCAGTTCACTGACCATAAAAGCATATCAGTCCCATCTGGAAAAACAGCAAGCCGAAAAAAAACGTGTTGAAAATTTCTTTTTCCATAGACTGATATGGATGGGACAAATTTGTTTAGGTATTTTCACGCTATTTTCTGAACAAAACATGTGACTCTTACTACACAGTGTAAAATGCCCGTAGTTTACAATCGATTCTAGCCAGCGCTGGTGGTGTAGTGGTAAACGTGACTACTGTCTCACCCCAATGGGTCTGGGTTCAATCCCAGCCGAGGTCGGTGGGATTTTTCTGAGGCATAAAAATCTCTGGTCACGTCTTTCTTTGGAAGGGAAGTAAAGCCGTTGAATGGGTGTGATATCCTACGCAGGTGTGAAAGCGTCAATGGATGGCAATCGATGTCCATCGGTGATTGGCACTAGATTGCGGAACAGAGACCGACGTTAAATAAAGGAATGAATACAATCGATTCTAATGGATGACTGATTTCTGAAGAAAAAAAAAATCCAAATGGGACTGTTATTTGAAAGGCATTTCAGATGACTTACAATTTGAATATCGAAAGAAAGAAACGGTCCTGGGGATTTCCATCTACAAACTACTTTGAATTAATTATTCATAAATTGAGCCGTAGCTCTTAAGCACGTTTGACTAATTGCGATAAACATCTTAATCTGCTTTCCACAGTGCGTTCCACAAGTACACGCAATGTTCCGAGTTCACGGTCCGTCACACGTGCGGAGACGAAACGGCGCTGTTCACTCGGAGATTCCTCGACAAAATGTCCAACACGCTGATGAGGGTAAGTAGTACATGTTAACCCAGCTCACGAATTTCCACCCCAAAACCGGCAAGCATCACCGCCACCAAATGTCGAATTAATAGCCTTTCCTCCAACTCACATTCCAGCCATCAGCAAACACATAAGAAGCTTACTGCTCTCCTAGCGCAAACTTGCTAATTATACGCCAATTCGTTAATATTTGAAACTAATTTCCAAATTCGCGCAAATCGCCCTTGCCAAAAATCGTGTCATCGTGCTCTCGATTCAAACTACATTCAAATGAAAAACGATCCCTTACGCCAGCTGATGGCCACCGGTGACCAGCTCATGCCGTCCAAAATGGACCATTCAAAATGCAATATTCCTCAACAGCCCCCAGAACCGAACTTGCCATGTACTTTTTTTCTCGATAACTACCATCGTCCTTTCAATCTAATTTTTTCCCCCAACTCTCGTTCTCTCATCATACAGATGCACTGCGTTGATTACACGCCGGAAAACGGAAAATGCCGGGATTATTTCAGCTCGCATTCGACACGTGCCCAGCTAGCGTCGACCTCTCTGATGACCACCCTACTGGCTCTTCTGCTAGCCATAACTAGCCGGCTGTTCAACCCGAGCGTGCTAATTTAATCGGCGGCCAGCGGACTGTCGAATTCACTCAACACAGCAGCTACTATAGGGAAGGTGCACTATTGCAAACTAGTGGCTAGTATTAACAAAAAAATCTATATAGGTACAGGATATATAGGAAAATCTATAGTTGCACGGAACCTATTTTGTGATCGACGCGAGTGAGGATCTAAGCGTGTGAATGGGAAATAGATTGGGAGAGTGCGAAATAGGGAATGAACATGAATAAATTAAAACCAGAAAGGGAAACCGAGCTAGTTTGTGCGTTTGGAGTCTGACGTCGAACGTCCCCACCCCGGCAGAGGGGGAAACAGGTTGTATTGCATTGTGCGTATAATGTTGTTGAAAAGTGTCCGCTGATTTTTTTTTTAGTTTGTTTTTCGCTCCATCACCATGAGGTATTATTTTACGACGTTTTGCCGCTCAGAGGATCACTTTTATTGCAATTTTCATATTGTTTGCAGGTTAAATAAGCGGAGTGATAGTAAGCCGATTGGCCCACTCAAGACTGGTTTAGAGGAATTTTCGATAAATTTACTCTGCAAATCCGTGGTAGGAAATTCAAGTTCAACCCACCTCTCGGAGATATTTTCTAACGCCATGATCAAAACGTAATTTGAATAGGCTGATTGGGCGTGCGAAGAATGTGATTGCGAGTGTTATGTTTGTTCGTCTGTGTATGTGGATCATCGTTCTTCACTTCAATTTTCCCTTTACATATTTAGATTTGTTTTCAGAATCTTGCTAATTTTACCGAGACTCTCATAGCCATGCGAATTTCACCAAGATCTCGTTAAAACTGACATTTGGTTGCAGACTTTCGGAATATGTTTTGCTGAATCTAAGCAAATAAAAATCATTTTCATTATTCCCAGTAAAACGCGTTTTCATTCGACTGTGCGAATCTTGACAAAAAATTGCCAAGACATGGAAAATAAATGTAGGGTAAGTGTTGTCAGCAAATAGTCCTGCAATCTCTTTTTCAAAATTTCACACATTATCCATTCTTTCCTAAATTTATTTTAATGCAAGTTTAGAACACATATTTTGTATATATCAACGCACCAAAATCAAGAAAATTTATTTAAATTCCCCTGATCCTTCTCTCAAAACTGTTATCCTTTTTAAGCACGAGTAATCGGTCCACCCCTACTTGACGTAGTTAGGGTGATGGTGAAGTGACAATTGTTACCTTGGGTGAGGTGAGGCTTCGTGTAAATCCAGGCCAGTGACAAGGCCTATACCAACAGCAGCGTTTGACAGTAGGCAGCATGTCCCGGGCTCAAATCATTTATTTTGCTGTGCTGGGCCCGCTGTCACTGTATAACATGTTACCTACGCGCCTGCCACTGGGCAGGTGAAAATTGTCACTACACTAGTGACAGCGAGTCACCTCACCTTTATAAAATGAAAAATCGGTGCCCAGAAGCTAAAGCGATTGAGCCTTCCAAATGAAAAAAAATGAAAAAAAAAGAAAAAGTGAGAGAGAATTTTTTATGTATAAAAATGTATATAGTGGAATTTACGTATCCTTGGCAATCTAAGCAGCTTCCGCACTTCTATTAGCATTTCCTCAGTGTCACGCACACATATGAAGTGTCTGTTTGTTTACATTTATCTGCTGCTAGCTACTCTATCCATTCCAATCGACAGAACTGTCCAAAACGGTTTGAACACGTTTTTAAGGCGCTCCAAACTTCTCAGGTGAGTGTGGCTATTGTCGGCAGCCTCTTTTACTTCGGCAACCTTTCCGTTTAAACTGTGTGTTAACCAGTTGTTCTATTATCGGCAACTCGAAATCAGCCGTATTTTCATGTGCTTATGTTTCATTTGAAGAAACACCTGACATAACAAGTTTTATCAGTCGTAAAAATGTATTAGGATTGAACCTGAAAGACTAAGAAATCGTTTAAATACATTCAGCGAAGTGTTTCAGTGAGAAAGTACAGCGAAATTAACGTTTAAATTGTGGTTGCCGAAAACAGTTGATGGCTGCCGAAGCCATCATTTACCCTACCAAAAAGATATTCAAAACAAAAATTATGTTGGATAAAATGTCATTTAATTACCTCTCACCCCAGCAGGCCTAGGATCAATCCCAGTCGGCGCTGCCGGGATGTTCTGAGGCATAACATCTCTGATCACGCCTTCTTTCTATTCTCTATACTATTCTATTCTATTCTATTCTAACACCAACACAGCCACGAAAGCATCCTGGAAAATGATAAATATACCTCAATCATTTTCTTGTCTAAGTGGTATATGTTGCAGAGATGCGCAAAATGTATCAAAACGGCCAGGCCTATTGTGCAGCATTTAAGGGGCAAGATGATTCAGAAACATCGGGCCTGTTTAAGTCAAAGATTTAAACACAATGCTTCAGAATCCAATAAATGGATGAAACGTGGACATCTCGTACCGTACGTTCCGGTTTGGTTAATTATATGATTGGTCGTTGGGCGCATCTAATCTAAAAATGTTAAGGGATGCTCCATCTTCCTTTAGTGGTCCGGACATGAGCACTAACTCTTGTCCTAGCCCTTATGGCCTATGGCTATAGCGCCATTACTCGCTTTCTGGAAAGAGATGAAGGAAATGAAAAAAAGGGAAAAGAAGCTAGTTTTGTAGGCATCTTTAACTTTCGGTGAACTTCCACCGAAACGAAAATTAAATTTCTTTTTCGATGCGTTTTTATTTTCCCAAAAATACCGAGAAAAAAAACTAAAAAAAAAACTGAAAATCAGTTCCCTCCTTAGATTCCTGAGAAAATGCACATGCAAAAATATGTTTTCTGTCTCATCATTAAAAAAATTGGACACTCAGCAAAACCGAAAGGTCGCTGTTTCGTGTTTTTATGAGTTCAAGTTTATGCCATGATGAGTAGAAAATGTTCTTGCACATGAATCCTCCTTAAAAAATCTGAAAAAATGTGATGTCTTTAGATTTCTGTTATCTCTTTCCAATACCTTTACAACAATTATTTTTTTTTTCGGAGCCGTGAACTTCCCCTTAACTAGATATATGTGTGTGTGAGTTTGTGTCTTCACGCCAGCTGACCTGAGTTCAACAGTGGATATAAGGAGAAATTCAAGTCTGCATTATCGATCGATTTTCATTAAAACCCAACACACAACTTGTTGCCATATATAAATAGAAATTGTTCGCAAAATAATATAAAATATGGAATGATCTCACCGATCTCTAAAAAATGACATGGTCCAAATCGCAGAGTTTTCGTTTTGTAAGCAGCAGAAACAAATGAGCAGCAACGCCTCTAGCGATAGATGTGCCGCTAGCCGTCTTCGTCCTCCTTCTTTTTCAGCTCGGAAACATAAATACACCGGAGCTGCTGCTGGTTTCTCAGCATTCAGCTGCTCCGAAATATCATAGGTAACCAAAATCGTAACACTACCCTTCGCAACCCGTAAATTTCACTCTTGAACCGCGCACTAGAAAATACAAATCTCACGACGGAACCGAAAATAACGGAAAACCCGAATCACAGCTCACACGGCCGGAATTCCGTTAAAAATACTTATGGACATCTCTGATCACGCCTTCTTTCGAAACGGAAGTAAAGCCGTTGGTCCCCGGTTCATTAGTTGATGGATCGATAGGTATGGTCCAGCCTCCCTGGCGTCGGTAGCATCAATTCCAGGAAAAAAATGTCATTTAATAAAATATTTTGGTTGCTAGTAAAACACTGTCAAAAACTGCTTTTCTTTGAAATTTATGTAGGGCCCTGTATAAGGGACACTTAGGACATTAGGGACATTAACCCTATGAGGAGACTACAATTTTTCGTTCAAAGTCGTAAAAATTAAGACTTTTCTGTTTTCTGCTTACAAAACAAAGCGTCGTAGCTTTTATTTACTAGTGACATGCAGATACTGGTCTTCCATTGAAGGTGGAAGTTTGGTATACACTGTTGCTAGGAAATTTCAACGAGAAGTATCTCAATGGAACATTTCTGGCTATTCTGTCCAACTTCCGGAGACTTTCATATTGACGTAGGACTACGTCTTTCATTTCTATACTGAGGGTACACTTTGTGAAAATGGAACATGTAACAAATTATGAAATATTTTGAACATTAATAACTCAGCTGCTTCTGGACCAATTTCAATAATTTAATCACCTATCGATCAAAAATCTTCCGACGCATCTATATCATTGCTTCCACATGATGATTTTTAATGTGAAAGTATTAAAAAAGTGGTAATGTCAAGCATTGTCCAATGTTCAAATAAAAAGTTATAATGTTATCACTGTTTTCATGAAATAAACGTTCTTCCCAAACCCAGTCCTCATAATCGAGTACCACTTGGTTGCACATCATTCTGCTCTAACCGGAAAAGATATAAAAGAGCGCTGCTGTATGGCATTAGCTCATTTTCGCTTCGGACGGCGTGGTGAGTAGCAATAGCAGCAGTAGGAAGGGGGTGGCTAGTCCACTTCTTCACACCGAACAAGCAACAATTGACTGGTCGTGGAAAAGGTCTGGTAAAGGAGGTGCCAAGCGTCATCGCAAAGTTCTTCAAGATAACCACCATTCGTCGTCTGGCTGGCCGTGGTGGTGTCAAACGTATCTCCGGTCTGATCTACGAGGTGGGCTGAAGGTGTTCCTGGAAAATGAGGTCCGTGGTGCTGTCATCTACACTAAACACGCCAATCGTAAGTGGCCACGGATGTCCTCTACAATAAAACGGCTCTTTTCAGGGCCATCAAGCTTATATCAGTAAAGAGTTGGAATAGAATTTATCTGTGCCTGTTTGTCCATATTCAGAACCACAAGCCCCCAACGACCACACAAAATGCTCTCCTCCCAGACAACCTGAAATCGTATAACAATGTACACACAGTATCGTAAATTGCTACAGTTTAAGTCAAAATCGCATATAAGAATGGCATACCTCGCATTATGGTTAAGTTAAATCGTACACACTAATCGAGTCAGTACGGTTTTACCGAGTTTTTGAATTGCGGAACTGTTCGGTAAAAGTTTAAAAATCTGTGGAAAATTTATTAATGAGAAAATTTGTTCTGAACTTGTACATACTTAGTTCTGTTAACCCCATTTAGAGATAGAAAATAAAATTGATTGATTTCATTGATTCCTTACGGATAACGGTCATTTGAATTTTTACCGACTTTTTCAGCAATTCAAAAACCCAGTAAAAAATACTGACTCCTGTAAAAAAATCTTAGTGCGTATAGAATGCAAATTTCCGACCTATATGCGATGACTCATTTTTCC